AATTATAGCTCAATAAAGCAGTTTTTTTAAAGGAAACTTGTATAAGAGAAGAATAACTGAAAGTAGAACAAAGATGAGGGATAGAAGGTGGAGGAAAAGTGGAAGCACCACATGAAATGTTTTCTACTTAGTACCTGAAAAATATTGACTCAGATGAGTCCTATGGATAGTCATTAGGCAATATCACTGGACCAAACTGGTTGGTTGATCTTCAGTCAAAGAAAAAAAGAGGAAAAGACAAAGAAAAAGTCAACACACTTAAGGAGCTAAAACAGTTCAAACTATACTCCCAAAGAACTCTAGGATTAGAATCTAACAGTAAAATCTGAACATTCACAATGATTTCCCAATTTTATGTAAAATGTTATTTTAAGACTACTATGAAAAATTATATACTAAAAAATTGGACAACCCAAAAGAAATGGATAAATTTCTAGAATTTTCTACTCTTCCAAAACTGAATCAGGAAGAAATAGAAAAGCTGAACAGACTGACTACTAGCAATGAAACTGAATCAGTAATCAAAAAATTCTCACTGGGGCGCCTGGGTTGGTGTAGTTGATTAAGTGTCCAACTCTTGGTTTCAGCTTAGGTCATGATCTCAGGGTCATTACATGGAGCCCTGTGTCAAGCTCCATGCTCAGCATGGAATCTGCTTAAGACTCTCTTATCCATGGAGCAGCTGAGTGGCTCATTCGGTTGAGAATCCAACTCAATTTCAGCTCAGGTCATGGTATCGGGGTCATGGGATCCAGCTGCATGTCAGGCTCCATACTCAGCAGTGAGGAGTCTGCTTGAGATTCTTTCTCTCCCTCTGTCCCTCCCCCTGCACTCGTTCTCTCTCTCTCTCTCAAATAAATAAAATTTTTTTTCAAATAAATAAAATTTAAAAAAAAAAAAGACTCTCTCCCTCTCCTGCTCTCATTTTCTCTTTCTAATAAATAAATAAATCTTAAAAATAAATAAAAAACTCCCACCAAACAAAGTCCAGAACCAGATGGATTCACAGGTGAATGCTACCAAATATTTAAAGAGTTAATACCTATTCTCCTCAAACTATTCCAAAAAAACAGAAGAAGAAGGAAAACTTCTAAATATATTCTACAAGGCAAAATCTACCTTGATACCAAAACCAAACAACAACAACAACAACAAAAAACCACTACAGGGCAATATCCCTGAAGAACATAGATAGAAAAATCCTCAACAATGTATCAAAAACCACATTCAAAACTATATTAAAAGGATTATTCACCAATCAAATAGTATTTATCCCAGGGATGCAAGGATGGTTCAATAATTGCAAATGAATCAATGTCATATATCAAATTAACTAAATAGGAAAAAAATCCTATCTCAATGTTACAGAAAAAGCGTATTACAAAATTCACCATCCATTCATGATAAAAACTCTCAACAAAATGAGTTTAAAGAGAACATAGCTCAATATAATAAAGACCATATATGACAAACCCACAGCTAACATCTAACAGCTAAAAACTGAGAGCTTTTCCTCTAAGCTCAGAAACAAGACAAGGATGTTCATCCAATCTTGCCACGTTTATACAACATAGTACTGGAAGTCCTAACCACAGCAATCAGACAACAAAAAGAAATAAAAGGCATCCAAATTGGAAGAAGTAAAACTGCCATTATTTGCAAATGACATATTATACATTCCAAGAAACTACTGGAATAAGTTAATTCAACAAAGTTAAAGGACACAAAATTAATAAAGAGAAATCTATTGCATTTCTATATACTAATAATGAAATAGCAGAAAGAGAAATAAGAAAACAATTCCGGGGCACCTGGGTGGCTCAGTGGGTTAAGCATCCTACTCATGATTTCAGCTCAGGTCATGATCTCATGGATTGTGAGACTGACATACAAACAGCCAACAGACACATGAAAAGATGCTCAGTATGGCTAATCATCAGAGACATGCAAATCAAAACTGCAGCAAGACAACACCTTATATCTCTCAGATTGGCTAGAATCAAAAGGACAAGAGGGGCACCCGAGTGGCTCAGTCGGTTAAGCGTCTGGCTTCAACTCAGGTCATGATCCCAGAGTCCTGGAATCAAGCCTCAGGCCAGGTTCCCTGATCAGCAGGAGAGTCTGCTTCTCCCTCTCCCTCTGCTTCCAACCCCACTTGTGCTCACTCTCTCTCAAATAAATAAATAAATAAAACCTTATAAAGAAAAGAAAGACAAGAAATAACAAGTGTTTATGTGTAAGTAGAGAAAAAGGAACCTTCATGCACTGCTGGTAGAAATGCAAATTGGTGCAACCACTGTGGAAAACAGCATGGAGGTTCCTCAAAAAATTGAAAATAGAAATACCATATGATCCAGTAATTCCACTAGTACTGGGTATTTACCCAAGGAAAATAAACAGATACACAAGAAAACAAAAACACTCTTTGTGAAAAGATGTATGCACACCTATGTTTATTATAGCATTACTTACAACAGCCAAGATGTAGAAGCAACATAAGTGCCCAATGATAGATGAATAGATAAAGAAAATGTGGTATGTATGTACAATGTAATATTAGTCAACCATAAAAAAAGAATGAGATCTTGTCATTTAGAACAACATGGCTGGACCTAGAGGGTATTATGCTAAATGAAATAAGTAAGACATAGAAAAATAAACACCATATGATTTTGCTTATATGTAGAATCTAAAAAACAAATAAATAAACAAAAAACCCCAAATGAACAAACAAAGCAGAAACAGAATGAGAACAAACTGGTAGTTGCCCAGGAGAGGGGGATGAGAGGATAAGCAAAAAGGACAATGGGAGTACATGGTACAGGCTTCTAGTTACAGAATGAAAAAATCATGGGATGAAATGTACAGCATAGTAAATATAGTCAATGATATTGCCACGGTATTGTTATAGTGTCGTATGGTAAGATATGGTAAAGCTACAGTTACGGTGAAAATAACATAATGTATAGAGTTGTCCAATCACTATATTGTACACCTGAAACTACGGTAACATTATCTATCAACTATACTTCCATTAAAAGACAATGTCATTCAAAAGAAATGAAATCTTGGGGCGCCTGGGTGGCTCAGTGGGTTAAGCTGCTGCCTTCGGCTCAGGTCATGATCTCGGGGTCCTGGGATCGAGCCCCACATCGGGCTCTCTGCTCAGCAGGGAGCCTGCTTCCTCCTCTCTCTCTACCTGCCTCTCTGCCTGCTTGTGATCTCTCTCTGTCAAATAAATAAATAAAATCTTTAAAAAAAAAAAAGAAAGAAATGAAATCTTGCCATTTGCAACGACGTGGATGGACCTAGAGGGTATTATGCTGAGCGAAATAAGTCAATCAGAGAAAGACAATTATCATATGATCTCCCTGATATGATCTCCCCGGAAACGTTGGGGGGTTTGGGAGGTAGGGAAGGAAAAAATGAAACAAGATGGGATCGAGAGACTCTTAATCTCACAAAACAAACTGAGAATTAACAGGGGAGAAGGGGGTATGGAGAGGGTGGTTGGGTTATGGACATTGGGGAGGGTACGTGCTATGGTGAGTGCTGTGAAGTGTGTAAGCCTGACGATTCACAGACCTGTACCCCTGAGGTTAATAATACATTATATGTTAATTAAAAAAAAAAAAAAGACAATGTCGTTACAGGGGTGTGGGGGGGGAACGAGGGAACGACACATTATTTTATTTTATTTATTTATTTTTTTTTTTTAATTTGTCAGAGAGAGAGGGAGAGAGAGCAAGCACAGGCAGACAGAATGGTAGGCAGAGACAGAGGGAGAAGCAGGCTCCCCGCCAAGCAAGGAGCCTGATGCGGGACTCGATCCCAGGACGCCAGGATCATGACCCGAGCCGAAGGCAGCTGCTCAACCAACTGAGCCACCCAGGCGTCCCTAGGGAACGACACATTATTTTAATTTGTACTTCTACCAAATCCAAAATAATTCTTAAGTACATAAAAATTTTCTTAAAACTATGATATTTATCTGCTGTCAAAGATTAACATTAGTGCTATAAGTAGTCAATTACTATTAACGACAATGCTTAAAAACTGTTTGCTTTAAACAAAATTGTTAGGGTTCCTGAGTGGCTCAGTCAATTAAACGTCCAACTCTTGATTTTGGCACAAGTCATGATCTTGGGGTGATGGGATCAAGCCCCGTGTGGGGCTCCATGCTAAGCAGAGAGTCTGCTTAAGGTTCTCTGTCCTCTTACTCTCTCTCTCTCTGCCCTTCCCCCAGTTCTCTCTCTCAAATAAATAAAAATATCTTTTAAAAAAATTGCTTTTATCTCCATGGGCATGTGTACATGTAGTTATAATTTTATGGAACATAAATGGAGTTAATATTTCAATCAATCTAGAGTTAGAATAACTAAGTATATAATTTTATGCAAAAATCACAGTTCATGTAACAAATTTATAGTATATCATTGTCTTCCTCAGAAAATATCATGACTATCATAGTTTCTCCCTTCTTATTTAACAACCACTCTACAGGTATCTATATTCTCTCTCAGATTTCAGAGGCTTCCATAGTGGTTTATACCTCTGAATTCAATAATTCTTTTTTTTTTTTTAAAGATTTTATTTATTTATTTGACAGAGAGAGATCACAAGTAGGCAGAAAGGCAGGCAGAGAGAGAAGAAGGGAAGCAGGCTTCCTGCTGAGCAGAGAGCCCGATGTGGGACTCGATCCCAGGACCCTGAGATCATGACCTGAGCCGAAGGCAGCGGCTTAACCCACTGAGCCACCCAGGCGCCCTGAATTCAATAATTCTTGATTAAGCATTAAAAAAAAAAGTAGCCACACATTTCCTTGACTACAGGTATAATCTCTTGTATGCTGTGACCAAGCTTCTAAACATGAAAATATTTTAAGATTCTGTAAATTTAGTACTTAATAATTTAACTTATAATATACTACTATTAAAAATATTATCATAAAATCTTTTAATAAAATTATCTGTTAAAAATAGATTTCTTTTGCAGATTACCTTGCCTGCTGTAACAGGATGATTAGTCTTGATTTCATATTCCAGCCTGTATTGAATGTAATCCAGATCAGAGTCAGCTTTCTGGAACTAAAGATCAGCACAAATAATTTTTTTGTGAACCAAAAGACAGATTAATAAACATGATACTGTTAACTATTCTTCTTTTTTCCTCTTTTTTTTTAGTATTTCAATAAGAAATACACTAATTTTGTAAATATGGAAATAGAAAAGTATATAAAACCTCCATCATCTATAATACCTGTGCTCTATTAAAAATTTAAAAACTAGTTAACATTTTGAAAATGCATTTAAATGTTGAAAATGTTTCTCTATGCATCTTTCTTAGATTTAGAACCAAAATTAAGACACCAAGCAACTACTGTCACGTATTAATACAAGAACTAACAATGGTTTCCAAAATTCCCAGGGTTGACACACTCATCACTGAGGCAGCGTTTTTCTACCTTTGGTAGGAAATGTCCAAGCTAAAACACAAAACAAATTTGTTTTCAGGGATACATGCAATTTTACCATTATCTGCAACTCCATTAAACAGTGAACTACAAGTATTTGTCACATAGACCAAAATTACAGACCTTAAAGAGACAGGGATTATACAAGGAAAGCTACATACAGTACAAGAGTAGCAATCTAAATTATCCCAGTTTACTGAACCTGGGTCCCAGCCTGGGACCTTGATGTGCAGTAAACCCCAAACAGAGAATGGAATACTCTGTGATTACCAAAATTCTATCTTTATAACCAAAAACTTCTGGAATAGAAAAAGAAGAAAAAGAGACAGTTTTTATTTTTAAATTTTTTTCTAAGAATCTGTAGCTGATTTGCATTTCTAACAGCAGAGTTGCCATAAACCAGAAAAATACATTAGTTCTTAATTTAAAACAGCACCTCAAAACAAATGGTTACTTAAAATGTCTTTCAGAAAAGGGAAGCTGGGTGGCTGAGTCGGTTGAGTGCTCAACTCTTGGTTTCAGCCCAGGTCATGAACTGAGTGTCATGGAATCCAACCCTGAGTGGGGCTCCAAAGTCAGCATAAATTCTCTCCCTCTTCCTCTGCCCCTACCCAAAATAAAATAAATAAATAAAATATTTTTTAAAAAATGTTTTTCAAAAATGAAGGCTTTTCATTTGCTTATATAATTGTTAGATTAGATGCTATGATTAAACTATCCAATAATTAGATTTCATTAAGCAGACTAATAATAACTATATATAGGGGTGCCTGAGTGGCTCAGTTGGGTAACTGCCTGATTTCCACTCAGGTCATGATCCTGGGGTCCTGGGATCAAGCCCCATCTCGGGCTCCCTGCTCGGCAGGGGAGTCTGCTTCTCCGCTCCCCTCTGCTCCAGCTCGTGTGCACTCTGTCTCTCTCACTCACTCATTCTCTCCCTCTCTCAGATAAATAAAATCTTTTAAAAAAATTAAGGGGCACCTGGGTGGCTCAGTTGGTTAAGCGTCTGCCTTCAGCTCAGGTCATGATCCCAGGGTCCTGGGATGGAGTCCCGCATTGGGCTCCTTGCTCGGTGGGGAGTCTGCTTCTCCCTCTACCTTTACCCCCTGCTCGTGATCTCTCTCTCTCAAATAAATAAAATCTTTAAAAAAAAATTTTTTTAATAATTACCATATACGTACATGTATATATTTAAAGAAAATTCCTGGGGCACCTGGCTGGCTCAGTCAGTAGGGCACACAACTCTTGATCTCAAGGGCCCTAAGTTCAAGCCCTACATTGGGTGTGGAACCTACTTAAAAAAAATTTTTAGGGGCGCCTGGGTGGCCCAGTGGGTTAAAGCCTCTGCCTTCGGCTCAGGTCATGGTCCCAGGGTCCTGGGATCGAGCCCTGAATCGGGCTCTCTACTCAGCAGGGAGCCTGCTTCCCTTCCTCTCTTTCTCTGCCTGGCTCTCTGCCTACTTGTAATCTGTCAAATAAATAAATAAAATATTTTTTTAAAAAATTTTTAATTAAAAAATTTAAAAAAGGGGCGCCTGGGTGGCTCAGTGGATTAAAGCCTCTGCCTTCAGCTCAGGTCATGATCCCAGGCTCATGGGATCAAGTGCCATCCACCTTGGGCTCCACACTCAGCCAGGAGTCTGGTGAGCTCTCTCCCTCTCCCTCTGCCCCTCCCACCCTAAAATAAATAAATCTTAAAAAAAAAAACTTAAAAAAATGGGCAAAAGAAGGGCGTCTGTCTGGGTAGCTCAGTGAGTTAAGGGTCAGATTTTGGCTCCGGTCATTGTCCCAGGGTCCTGGGATCAAGCCCCAAGTCAGGTTCCCTGATCAGCAAGGAGTCTGCTTCTCCTTCTCCCTCCGTTCCCCCTGACCTCCACTCATGCTTGCTCTCTCTCTCTCTCTCTCTCTCTCTCTCTCAAATAAAATCTTAAAAAAAAAAAAAATGGGCAGATGACATGAACAGACATTTCTCCAAGGAAGACATACAGATGGCAAACAGATACATGAAAATACACTCAACATCACTCATCATCAGGGAAATGCAAATCAAAACCACAATGAGACATCACTCCATACTTGTCAGAATGGCTAAAACAAAAAACTCAACAAACAAGTGTTGGTGAAGATACAGAGAAAAAGGAACCCTTGTGTTGGTGGGAATGCAAACTGGTGTAGCTGCTGTGGAAGACGGTATGGAGGTTCCTCAAAAAGTTAAAAATAGAACTACCTTATGATCCAGTAATTGCACCACTGGGTGTTTATCCAAAGAATACAAAAACACTAATTCAAGAGAATACACACATCCCTATGTTTACTGCAGCATTATTTACAATAGCCAAACTATGGAAACAGTCCAAGTATCCATTGGTAAACGAACTGATAAAGAATATGTGATATATGGAGTACCTGGGTGGCTCAGTCAGTTAAGCATCTGCATTAAGCTCAGGTCATGATCTCAGGGTTCTGGGATTGAGACCCAAATCAGGCTCCCTGCTCAGCAGGGAATCTGCTTTTCCCTCTCCCTCTGGCCCTCTTCCCTGCTTGTGCTTGCTTTCTTTTTCAAATAAATAAATAAAATCTTAAAAAAAAAAAGAGTGTGTAATAGGTAGATAGATAAAATGGAATATTATTTGGTTGGTCATGAAAAAAGAATGGAATCTTGGCATTTCCAACAACATGGACAGAGCTAAAGAGTATAATACTCAGTGAAATAAGTCAGTCAGAGAAAGAAAAATACCATATAACTTCAATCATATGTGGAATTTAAGAAACAAAACAAACGAACAAAGGGAAAAAAGAGAGAGAGAGAAATCAAAAAACATAATTAGTGAGCAAATACACTGTTACCAGGGGGAGCTGGGGGGGAGGGTATGGGTGAAATAGGTGAAGGGTATTAAGTGTACACTTTCATCCTGATGATCACTGAGTAATACAGAGAACTGCTGAATCACTGTATTTTACACCTGAAAGTAATATAAACCTGTATGTTAACTACGCTGAAATTAAAAAAAAAACAAAACAAAACAAAAAAACTCTGTTCTAGGAGCTCTTGTTTATGAAACAGAAATTCTTAAACCTGTGTGTGTGTTTTGAAAGATATTATTTATTTATTTATTTGAGAGAGAGAGAGAGAAAGAGCAAGCAGGGACAAAGAAAAAGACACAGATTCGCTGATGAGCAGGGAGCCCGAGGAGGGGCGCAATCCCAGGATCTGAACGAAGGCAGACACCCAACCAAATCAGACACCCAGGCAGCCCCCATGTGTGTTTTTTAACTTGATATTTTAACTCTGCTTAAAGTTTAACTACCATAATCCCAAAGACCATTTAACAATATCTTCTTTTCAAGATAGCTGTTTTAGCTATGGCTTCCTATAATACCTGGTGGTCCACAATGTATTAAAATCATCAAACAGTATCAATAATAAGTGGTTCCTGCTTTTAAGTAACTTCTATTTTAGTAAGACACCAAAGAGTGTGCTTCCAATCAATGATATGATAGAATCAGCTAAATTTTCAAATATGTTTGTAAACCAATTGTTAAACACAGGCATAACTAAAAATTACATAAATTTACCAGTAAACAAATTATTAAAAACAAATACTCAAAAATTTTAACTTCCTAATGATTTTGCTATTATATATGCTCTTGAGATCCACCACATGTATATAATGAAAATATTATATCATGTGCTACTGTGCATGTCTTCCCAACTTCACTTTCAATCACGCTAGAAGCTTGCAATTGGCCAAGGTAGAAATATTTACACCAAGGAAATTGGAAAATGCTAAATTCAGGATTTCCTACCTCCTCCTCCCCCTAGCTGCATTTATATGTACACTTCTGCTTTCAAAAGACTTTTTAAAATTCCATCCCCCCTTAAGTAATGGGCCCACATTTCTATTGGAAAAATATTTCAGAAGATAAAACAAATTTTAAACAGACTTTCAAAAACAGGGGGAGAAGGAAATGGGGAATTATCATTTAACGGGCCCAGAGTTTGAGTATGGAAAGATAAAGAAGTTCTAGAAATGGGTGGTAGTTGTGGTTGTACAAGAATGTGAATGTACTTAATACCACTAAACTATAAACTTAAAATGGTAAATTTTCTTATATATATTTTATCACAAATACAAATTTAAAAAAACAAAGATGGGAAAAACAGCTTGAGATTAGAATGTAGCTCTCTGTGAAGAACTGAACAGAACATTTCATGGTAATACACAAGGGAAGTATTTACTTATCAGTGAAGTCGGTGGGCTCGGAAATCAGCAGGGACCAAAAAAATGCAATGTTGAAAAATAAATAAACAATCAAGATTTTCTGAGTCCCTTCATTGTAAAAATGACGAAATAGTCTAAGTGATTTGCCTCTAGTTCTATTTTCTTTTCTTTCATTTATTTATCTAACAGAGATAGTGAGACGTAACACAAGCAGGAGGAGTGGGAGAGGGAGAATTAGGCTTCTCGCCAAGCAGGAAGCCCACGGTTCAGGACTCCATCCCAGCACTCTGGGATCACGACCTGAGCAGAAGCCAGATGCTTAACGACTGAGCCACCCAGACACCCCTCTAGTTCCATTTTCATTACTATGTTTTTTATGCAGTTAGATGAA